CTTGAAAGTTAATGCTGACATATAGGGCTATTAAATATAACGATCTGGAATTAGACATGTTTATTGGCTAGGCCATATGTTCGGAAGAAATAAATGGGTGATTAGTTTGATACTTGAAGAGGTGAGGAGAAAGAATAAAAGTGAAGTGCTAGATAGGGAATTTAATTTTTAATCTAATTTAATTATCCTTACAATTATTTTGCATTATTTTTGAAAGAAAAGATTAAAGAGTATTCCTAAATTCAAGTAGGAGAAAAAGGAATACTTTATATTTTTATATAGTGATTTTAATATTGCTATAAAATAGCTATTTTATCATGAAAATATTTATTATAATTTGAAAATTGTTTGATATAAATTATTTAAAATGCTTTCTACAGAATTTCTTATTGAAATTAATCAAATTTGTTCCAAGAGAAAAATATGATCATAAAAGTTGATAGTGTTACACCAATTTATAATTCTTAGTAAAAAAAGTTTAGTAGCTGAAATTTTATTTTAATTCAAATTCAATAAAAGAGGAATTTTTCCAGAGAATTTAAATTGCAATAATTTTCTCAAATTGTGAATCAAAACTATGAATTAAAAAAATTCATTTATCCTTTTTAAAACCGAAACTGAATACTAATGTGTGTGTGCATGGGGATTTCTAACGTAAATACAGTGGTATTTTTTTTATATATATTTATTTGAGCATTGTAAATAAAGTAGTGGAAACATACTTCAGAAAGCTGTAAAAATTGGGCATGCGCAAACAGAATATGGGAACAATAAGGTGGTATCGTTATCGAAGCATTCGGTGCATAAAACGATCGATCCAGTTAGAAGAAGTAATTGTTGTGAGGCGTGTGGAAGCGCGGATAGTGTGTCATTTCTACCGCTTATTATTTTTGTTAAAGATGATCAGCAGTCGTAGATTAAAATTGAGGTTACAAAAAATGCATCTGAATTTATCAAGGATTTCGTGAAGTATGTATCGAGAATTTTTTACTGTATAGGATGGTTGCACGGAGGCCAAAGCATTTTATGGGGGTGGAGAGAGGGTTGGAATGAAACTCTGGATTTACCCCGCACAGGTTTCCATTCCATAGACCAGGGTTCGACAAACTTTTGAGACAGAAAAGACAATTTGTAAGCGAACTAGGGAAATTAAATTAGCATAAGGCCCCAATAGAAGAGGGCTTAACTATCAAATAGCTAAGCTGTTACGTATATGTATACAGGGGCGGCTCTAGGGCCGAACAAACCAGACCCTTGCCCGGGGAGGCAAATTCTAAGGGCAAAATTTAAATTGAATTTGAAAAAAAAACATTTTTTTTTTTTTACAAAAAAAATTTATATATTTTCTGAAATACTATTGGGTGTGAATTTGGTATTTCATTTATTGTATCTTACTTCCTTATTTTATACTCTGTATGTCTAATGTCAGTTTTCTTTTATTTTGAAACCTAAGAGCTCGAAGCGGGAGTATATGTTCAACACGAAATTAGAGAAGTTTACACATCTTTCACTAGTAATTTTTCCCCCATCCCGGAGTATGGTCACAACGGACATTCCTTTCACTCATACGACGTCCGGTGTCAACTATCCAAAAGGGGATAGGGGCAATAATTTTTTGTAGATAGAGAGTCACAGAAGAAGTTTTATTTTAGTTTTGAGTGTAGTTTATATAAGTTAAAGTAAACGTTTGTGATCCCCACCATCAGTAGACTCTTTTTAGAAGAAATTCGTGTGTTGAAATGGGCGATTCCTATCGTTCGAATTAATAACAGGTAATTATGTCCTTAATTTCGAATTATTTTGTGTGTATTTGACTTAAAATAATATATTATATATATATATATATATATATATATATATATATATAATATCGTTATGATACCTTTTTGTTCGCAAGATTTATTCAAGTTTTATAGGTGTGTATCTATGTGAACAATTTATCTTTTTAATTATGATGTTTTACTTTAGTGAAGAGAGGGGCGGCATTTTCCATTTTTGTCCGGGGCGGCAAAACTACTAGAGCCGGCCCTGATGCATACGCTCACGCTGGGGGGGGGGGGGG